AATCATCATATTTGAGGTCATACCCCTCAAACCATTTAGATTTAGTCCAAGTAAGTGATCATTAGATCAAAAATTGTTCAGGATGGTCCGATTTTTTATTTTACGCACGATAAAATATTTGAATTCTTTCAAAATACATAATTCTAACAGAGAAAATTAAAATATATGGCATTAAAACTATTCATTTTGAAATTTTTCTGTTTATTTAGTAACGGTTCACCAAAAATTTTGGTTTTATATATTATAGCTCTTATAAACACAATTCAACTAGTAATTTTGAAAATACAAACTTAAAAGTTAATTTAACAGAATAAATGGTTATTATATCATGTTTTAGGATGTAATGAAGTAATTAAATTTCACAAAACAATATTTTACAGTTAATTTTACCACAATTATTATCAAAGCTCCTGGGTAAAAGCTATCGTGTATTTTACTGTTACCCTAAATGTCAGAAACATGGTATAATTTATCATATTCTTGAAATTTACACCAAAATTAATCTCTTTCTTTATAAGGAGATAGAATCTTTTTGAACTGAACATTTCCTACTAAACTAACGATTAAGCAGTGAAATAACTTCTATAGGAGATTTGAAGTAGTATCCCTGCTGTCGCAGTAGTAATATACTGTTACATCAAATGAATAACAAACAGATCCATAGGTAATTTACTCACCGCTAAATATTCGGAATCTACTGTATTGTTGGATCAGTTGAACGGAATAGACAATGTTTAATGTAAAATAGTGATAGAAATGAAAAAAGAAATGAACAAAAAAAAATGTGTTTAAAAGAATTTGTAGTGTTTTTCAAAGAAATTATTATTGATGTCTTGCAATGTAATATTTTTTGCTATGTTGTAATTTTTGATTAATAAAATTGCATGTTTAAAAACATCCTTAGAGCAAACTTCTTCTTTTTTGTTTTGGTTAAAAATGCTTTTACAATAAATTATCGTTATAAGACTGAATTTTCAATTCAAAAACCAAGTCACAATTTAGAAAACAATCCTGAATCTTCACCGTTCGATCGATAAAACCATAATTTTTTGTGAAATAAAAGTATTGCACTGATGCATTTTCTTCCATAATCCCATTCCTCTGTAAATATTTTCGAAATCCTTGGTAAAAATTTAACTCATAAGAATAAAATACAAGGTATTCTGCAAAGACCACCCTTAATATTCACATTTAAAAACCTTATTAAAATGTTAGTCAAACTGACATACTTTAAGGGTCGAATATTGATGTTTAAGCGAGGAAAAAACAAAAAGGCTTTAATAAAATGAGCCCTATATATTAATAGCCCTATATATTATCTGTATTGTTCTGGATTACCACGTTACATGTTTACATGGTTCATAAAAAAATCATGGATTATACTGGTGACCAAATATTTTGTTGCATTTATATGAATAAGTGATATAGAGACATAATTTTGATATTTTCAGTCTATTTTGTCAAAGCGTAGAAGTTCAAAAACGTTATATCTAACAAGACGTTACTCAAATATTGCGCCAAACTTTTAAGGGAGCTAGGGCACATCGACTGGATTAAAATTGCATTCGAATCCATGCATAGAAATGTCATCATACGCGGCTAGGGGTCATTGTGATTTTTTTAGAAGCATACGAAGAAACTACTCAAAATAGAAGAGTGTCCCTTATTAACATTACATTTCGCAAAACTATTTATTAATCTCTTTATGCAGAAATATTTAATGAATTTTTTAAGTGACCAGATATTAGATGGGAAATTAAAAACCAAAATTTAGGATGAAATTTCAATGGTGACGGAGAAAAATTGATTAGGTTTAAATTTTGGTCCCAAAATAATCGGGAGCTGAATGTGCGAATCCCCAATGTGTGTTAATTCAATAAGTCTTTTCGATGTCCTTTAGTTGAATACTTTTTAAATTAGCTGAAATATTTTAACAATATCAACAAAAAAACACTTGAAAAAGAGTGCAGCAGATGTAGGATTGGTAAATGAAGTAAGCAGGAAGTAAATTCCCCAAAAAAATTGTGTCTTAAAGAAAAAAAACATAAGATATACTAAATGTTTTGCAAGATAAGTTCATTAGAATCTTTTAATCATTAGAAATTTTTTAATTATTAAAAAATATTTGTTTCTAAGTTTAAAGTAGGTTCAGTGGAAGATTTAATTATTTTTGGGCTAATATATCGAGGTGTTTAATGTTTTATAGCCAGGGAGTTTTTTTGTAAATGCAGCAAAAAGTGTGCCTTAAAGCAGAAAGAAATAAATCACGTTTTATTATTTAGTTTATAATATTGAGGAATAAAAAACGAAATCAATTAAAAAAAAACTTATTAGTACTTTTTTTCGATTTATTAGTGGTTTGTAATGTGATTCGTTTGTCTAATAACGTAAGTAAGGGCAAGAAATTTAAACTTTTGAGATAAGAAAATCCCGGGATGCGTGATGAATAGGCATCTTAAAGGATGAAGATGCTAAAGGGAATTTTTAGGCTATTTTTAGACTATATTTATAAATTTTTAGGCTATATTTTTTTTATTTCAATGCTATTTTTAGAAAAGAGGGGTGCACTGCTTGTTTTCCACTGACACCATATATGGCCAATAATTTGACTTCTGCCACACACATACCTCGCAGCGCTTTCTACAGGGAGGACTCATTCACACACCATCCATCCATCCGCAGATTCCAAGTTTTGATCTGAACCAGAGCACAATCAATCTTCCATCCAGTTATCCCAGAGGTATTGAGTTGTTATGGGATTATGAGAACTCGGAAGATTTCGTGACCACGAGAGATTTATCGTGCACCTGTTCACATTATATACATGGGAAATAAAGAAAATGTTTTGTCTTTATTGATTGTCTTCAATTTTCCAATTATAAAAATTTATAAAACCATAATATGCTTTTAAATGCCATAATATGCTCAAAACCATAATAACCATATAAAAACCATAATATGCGCATCTGCATTTGCTGTTTTGACGTTGTAGTATTCTGCCTAAAGGCAAAGGTTCTTTGGCAACGAACAGTTGACTGCAACAGTCAACTGTTCGTTGCCAAATACATTTGTAGCCTACTTCCACTCCGAAAACAGACAAAAGCTGTTACTTAAAGCCCATTAAACGCCCCCATATAAACCGTTGATAAAAAATTTTAATTTTGGTATGTTTTAAGGTGTAATAGACATTTCTAATCATATGAGCTTTAAATTTTTAAAAAAAATTTAATTGGTTAAAAGATATAATAGGGTTCCAAAATGGGAGACTTGGCGTTTAATGGGACTAACATAGCTCACTTACACACTACGCTACAAGTTAAACGTTTAGTTTCATTACTTGTACATATTTTGATAAAAATCACCAAATTTATTTTAATGGGATCAATAAAGTTAAATTTGAAATAAACATGCTTGAGCGAAGAAGCAAAATAGTTCATAAATATTTTTTGTAGGAAACAAAATCGTACACTTTTTGTGAAGCATTACTTTACATTTTTCACAGCACAAAGGAGTGTTCTTTTTGCTCAACTTATATTTTGACTGCTTACCAGCCTGTGTAATTAAGTGATTAACTCCATCAAATCGAATGTTGGTATTTACTTGCCCATGTGGTCCAAGTCCATTAGGCAAAGTCTCCGGTCCGTCCCATGACTACATCGCGAAGAAATGTTAATTTTGACATCTGTACATTAACCTCACGATGAATCCTCCATGCTGTTACTACAGCTGTGTTAAGAATGTTGGTAAAAAAAGGGCCACCACCACATTTTACAATTTATTTTTGGTCTGTAAGAACTGAAATCGGTCAAGAATATCAACACCACCCATGTTCTGATTATATGAGGCAACTATTCCAGGTTGAGGTAAATCAGTTTTCTTCCTGGACTTTTGGCACCAACGTTTAACACGTCCTATTGGTTCAATTCCCTCAAAATTTGATGCCAGGAATACAATTTTATTGTCTTTCCATTTTACAACGCTAACACTCTTTGTTGTAACGCAGACATTATACTACAAGCACGCAAAGCTACATTTATGACCTGAGAATTTATCAGTATCTAATGTTTCCATATAATCAATGCTTGCTGCACAGTTAAAAACCTGCGAGCCACTTTTAAAAAGTTACTTAGAAAAAAAGAATCACACTCACCGAACGATTAGATCAAAATACTGAGAATTTTTTATTTTTTATTTTTTTTTTTTATCTTACAGTTTGAAACATTCTATGTGACAGAATGGATAATGGGAGGGGTCACAATGAGCAATTCAACACCTGCACTGATAATATTTGACCTTCAACAACAAAAGAGAGGGTACTAAGTATGACGAAAAAGAATCCATAAATATTTGCCTTTATGTAAATGTGTTGAGGATGGTGTTAGTCACAGAATGCCAAGTCTCCCATTTTGGGACCTCTTTAAATAAACAACTGTAAAATCGGTCTAAATCAATTTTTTAAAATTTTGTTGGCGACTATATGATGACAGAACAATTGTTTTGTATATTCAATATTTTTAAATTTCTCGACTTGAAAAATTATTTTTTTTCTGAAATTATTTTCATTTGAAGTAAAAAAAGCGATTTTGATTACATTTAGGCAATTTCTAAACAAACAATTTACATTTCGAACCTTCTGTGAAAATTTCTAATAAAACTAAAAACTTTCAACAGTCGATAAAAAAATATAAAAAATATGCATGTGAATTACTCAGCGAGAAAAAAATTCTTAAACAAAGGTTCCCAAAATGGGAGACTTGGCGCTTAATGGGTTTAATACTTTCATTCACTTTAATCTACAAAATCTAACTAACCAACAAAATAAATAACTGTTGCACTGTTGGATAAGTTTGAACGATGCCTCCCAAAAAATTTAACTTTTTTTATTAGTGCCACAAAGGAACTTCATCCACTAAGCTGATTTATTGTGTTAAAATATTCTCTTTTTTCACGAAAACATGTACGAATCGTGATTTCATTAGTACACCGTAATACATCACCACTTATCAACAGACAAAAAAAAACTATTGTGTGATAAATAAAAATGGAAGATACGATATTGTAAGATAAAATACGGAAGTGATGTGAGAGATATAACTCGTGATGAAGTTTCGATTCGGATAATGTAAATATGCAATGGAGCAGAAACCAGGGTTTCTTTAATGCTAGTCTTTAGCCTGATATTAGGTATTAATGCAGAAGTAGATGTGAAAATTTTCTTGTGAGTGCTTTTAAAATCAATTAATTTTACTACTGTTTCAACACTACCGCCATTTATAACTTTTCAATCAAGTCATCATGTATAAAACGGAATTTTCAATCGTATGGAAAATCGAAGATTTTTCTTTTTGTAATGAGAAAACTGATCAATACTTCAACAGCCCTGACTACAATATTCCAAGTTTGACGGATCGTACATGGGGACTTCGTTTATATCCAAGAGGAAAAACTGAAGAAACAACAAATTTCATTTCCTGCTTTCTATATATACGGGGATGGGATAGTTTTCCTGCTTTTGATGTTGAGATTAAAATACTTGGACCTACTGGTGAGGTCTTAAAGACATTAAAATTGTGTGATAATAAATCGAGCAATAAAGAACATAAATGGGGAAGTGCAACATTCCTTCCTGCCATGGCCGTTACCCAAGATGCTCGCAATAGCACTGAAGATAGTCTGACTATTTGTTGTAAGGTGCATGGTAAAAATCCTACTGCAGATGTTTTTGATGAACGCATTGCTCATACTAAAATTGGTGTTGATCGACAGTTAATTAAATGTCACTCTAGGTATAGTGAAGGAAGAATGGTGTTCCGCACTCATTCAGAATACTTTAAAAACAAATATTTTAAGTTCTCCATTGCTTCAAAGCATAATAACCTCATTGTATCGATGTGGAAACCACGCAATCGATTTTATTGGTTTGTGGTTACATGCAAAATAACTATGCTGAATATGAAGAACTATGAAACCTGCTCAGAAACATACAGACATTTCTTTGAGGAAAAAGAATGCACAATAACAATACCTTTAGCCATATTTTTAAATGAACTGAAGCGAAACGCTGTAGAATACCAACACTCCATGATAAAAACTGTTTATTTGACAGCTGAATTCTCCTATTCTAACGGAATTTATACACACTTTATTCCAAATAACAAATCCTTTCGAACCAAAATTCCTTCCATAAAGGATGATCTACGAGCCTTATTTTATAACAAAAAATTTTGCGATGTGAAATTGCGAGTGGATAACCAAGTTATCGAAGCCCATAAAAATGTTCTGGCAGCCCGTTCTCCAGTTTTTGCTGTCATGTTTGACCATGGTATGACTGAAACGCAGATGGGCATTGTTGACTTTGTTGATACCGATATTCATATTTTGAATTTATTTTTGCAGTTCTTGTACACGGATACAGTGGATGAAATGGATTATGAAGTCGCAATGAATCTGTTGATGGTGGCTGAAAAATATCAAGTTCTGTCGTTAAAAGAAAAGTGTTGTATGTTTTTAAAAACTGAAATGTCCATTGAAAACGTGTGTGATATATTGTCTTTGGCTAATGCAGTCAATTACGAATATTTGAAATCAGCGTCTGTAGACTTTATAATTGGAATACCAGGGAATGTTTTGCAATCACCAAAATGGGAAACATGGAAGAAAAACAATAAGGAATTGGCGAGAGCAATTTCCTTTCAATTATACTTAAATGCATCTTCACGAAAAGCTAATATGTGCGGTAAGTATTTAAGGAAAGATATATAAGCTATCTTTACTTATAATGTTTTCATTGAACATTAATACAAATCTATCTGATAAGAATATAACCTTAAGGGTTGTCAAAACTTTTCCAGTAAGTAAACCTTGTTTTTAGAAAATCATATTATTTAGTTATTTTACAAGTGCTATTGCATTTTTGTTAATTGGTGACATATTTTGATTCTAAAATCATGCTAAATTAAGTTAAATTAAATGTAGATTTTGAAGGGCAAACGACATGGAATCTGCAATATTGTGTACGGAATATACAGAGAAAATAATTCTGGCAAGACAATTACACTTGTATGGTAAATAAATAACTGGTGTAAAAAAGCTATAATTCTGGTAATTAAATCAAAATATACACTTGTTAAACAATCCAGTTGTATTTAAACCATTTATAATTTTTCCTTTCGTTGTGGTAATGGTTTTCAATTTTGATTTTCAGAAATATAGTTATTGTTACAGCGCGTTTAGCAAAAATGCAAAACAAGAGAAGTAAATTTGACCGAAAAAAAAGTTTTTATATCTTGCTCTAACGTATCACAATAAGATTACCAAAACGTTCTTCAAAAGTACTATTCCTTTTATGATTTGTCTGATAATTTTAAGTTTATCTTATGTCTTTTACAATTAAAGTAGTACTGAACTTTACAATGGTTTATTTGAAATGGTATTTCAGTTAACTGGTTCATAAGAGTTAGAAGGTTTTTAATTGTGTATTTATAGAGATTATTAATAAATTATTTATTAATAGAGGAAAAGTGGACATAACTGACTCTTTCAAGTGCTGTAAAGATACTTAACGCGAATAAATAAAATTATACTGACTGTTTATGTATCTGTTATGGGGAAATAGAATTCATTTATTTTTTGTAAATACAATGAAGGGATTTTAAACTCTTTTTAATCTGAGATGCAGATAGCACAAGTTAACGCAACAAGAATATACATCCAGTGTTACAGCGGTATTCGATCTTACTACATTCATGCACCAAAAGTCATTATCAGAACAGTAACACCACAAGGCCAGAAAGGGTCCTTGAATATATTGATAGTACAGCAATCATAGATTATTGGGGCTTTGATGCTGAGGAGGATGTCCTTCCACCAAACGATTTAGGCGCAAATGTAGTGGGTTCAATATATTTGTGCTTTTTTTTATTTTTGTTTTATCAGTTTTTCAATTTAACAGGAGACGAGTCCATTTTTTGCATTAACCTCACTAGCCTGAATATGTATTGAAACCAAATTTATTTATTAATTGTCATACATTCAGGGTTTCAAACTCGCTACCTTCATTTCACGCAGACGTTTTATGTTCGGCCACAGAGACTCCTGTAAAACAAATATTCTAATGAAATCAATATTCCAGTTATTTATTCTTTATTTATTGTCACACATATATATGATGACTAATGAGTTCAATTTAAAGTACGATTTAGTACAAGTTTTGTTATGCTGAAAGTTAGAGAAGTACAAATTAGAGAAGAACATTACAACTATGCAACTGTCTTAGCAGAGAGGTAACTGATTCGAATCTTACAGTATCCCTAGATTTTTGATTCGCTTCTCCATCTTGTGTTAGTTATTCTTTGACAGCCCGAATATGTATGTGTTACAATAAGTAAATCAATATAAATAAAAAAATTTAAATAAATGAATATAAATATACGAAACAAATAATTATATATAAATAAATGAAATTAAATGAAAATAAATAAATGAATGCAAATATATAAATTTACATATATAGTTGCCACCTGGTTGTGGTGGGTGTCGAAATCGCTGAATCCCTTTAATGATGACAGCATGCTACGTAACATTTAGGTCAGTATTTTAGTTCAGGTTACTGGTTTGGTACATTACTTAATGGGTAATTTCGATAGTTTTTAAAGTTTGTAGCCGTTAGCTGCTAGCTTTCATAGAAAAAAAAATTAACCGGCCGAAAGAAAGTTAACATGAGTTTACTAAATAAAATGGACGTTATCAAGTGAAAAATTTTTCGTCATCTCAAATAATACGAAAACTGCTAAATCTGTCTACTATTTTGATAAAATTTCCTTACTTTATTTTATTTACTACCAAACAGCGCTATAATAAAACCGTGTTTTATTTGTAATTTTACTAAAATGCATTACCAAAGCACTACGTTGAAAATTACCGTGCTTTTTAGAGTTCCCAAAGTCCCAGAATATTTTTTCGATATTTTATTTCTACGATGTCACTGCTAACAGTTCTACTACTCGGCCGGCGAAAATTTCCTTTATATCATCATTTGGTTTGTTGTAATGTATTTGTTAAAAAATAAAGAGCAAATTATAAGCAATTACGAATCAAATTACGGTAAAATGTATTGGCTTCCTGAGTACATCATCCGTAAAATTCATTTTACTGTAAAATACATTTTTGCTATAATTATATTTAACAGTTAAATGGAATCTGCCATAAAATTGGTAAAAACGGTTTCGAAAAATGTATAATAAGGGCATTCATACGAAAACATCACATGTTCAAAAAAACTAATGGCAGGAAATTTGAAATTAAGTTGTCTCGAAATGTGAATAAAGGTGATCATTTCGGTACTCGAAAGAAGTACCTTCATTCACTACAAAAAAAACTTTTGTATATTGTACTTTTGTATATTGCAAAATAACCGTCAGTTTTATGAACTTGTTTGTTGATAGGTAAAAACTTTATTGAGCTTACATTGCTTTCAATTGACAAATACAGTGACACAAAACATAAATGTCTACAACTTAAATTTGGCTTTAAATAGGTAAATGAATTTGAGTGAATCTGATATTAAGAGGAAGAGAGAAAAGTTGAACCTACTCCAGAGTTCATGACGTCAAAAATACGTTACATATTAATGATTTTATAGATTTGTACATAATTTTTAAATACGTAAATTTAAATGACTAAAAAGACGCTGTTAAAAAAAATTATTATTATTACAGAAACATGCATGAAATTCAAGCTGCATTAAAAATGCATTGGTCTAACTCTTCATAAGCGAGTCTTATAATTTTGATATGTGCATCTTTGAAATTTTTTAAGAGTAACTACAAGGATATGTTTATTAGGCAAAAAGTAAAATACTGTGTATGGATTCCAAACTAATGACCAGTCTTCTGACCAAGCAATTGTGCCTATATTTCTCAGATTGTGGCCACACCTCACAATTTGAGGCGTGCTATGTCTGTTGGGGAATAATGTTTAGACATAAAAAATTTTCACATTTTTAAATAAGTATTTCGTCAGTACAAATTAACTTTCATGTTTAAATTCAATCCCCCCCCGAGTTCAACAGCTTTTATTTCTGAAAATCTTGATCACTAGATGAGAAGGTTTTAGGGTGTTTCGTTTTTAATTTTGTGCTCTAACATTTTTTTTTCTTTACAGGTATTAGTTAAATTTTGAACTCTGTTTTATGGATACCTTAATTCCTTTAGATGTTACTCAAAGGAACCTTGAAGCTTTGTCACGATATTCATGGAAAGTGTAAAATAATAGAACAGTAATACTGGAACTCACATAACAGTCTAGCAACCTTGACCAATATTTCCAGAACAGCTAAAATCCTGTAAAACTGTGGTTCTGTAAATTTGCAAAACAATAGTGCCAAGCTGAAAAGAACATTTACATTTTTTCCCCCAATGCCCACCTGAAGAATGACTTACGTCATACAGGCATCTGAAGGGCAGATTTGCTGGCCACTCTTTCATCGGCACCATATTAGGTGGGCCAACGTAGCTCCCACAGTAAGGACAGATAGTTCAGAGAAGGAAAGAACATCTATGCCTTGCCTGGGACTCGAAACCTGAACCTTTCTGATGCAAGGGCAGTTCCCTAACCCCTACACAAGCCGGTCGGCAAGAACATTTACTTGGAACGCCGAATTCAATTTCCACTTCATACTTCAACCTTAATTGCTTAAAAAAATGAAGAAAATAAACACGATATGGCAATCTGATCTTATTTTCATTGTGTTTTTATTACTTTTTTCCCCACCTCACTTAGGTGTGCTTCTAAAGTCTGGATATAACTTATTAATAACAATATGTGATAGTGTAACCTTTATGTAAATGATTTTTCGTTTCACTAAAACGTGAAATATTTGATAAACACCAATTGAATGAAAATGAAAACTTTAAGAATATGTGCTGACTTTATTAGAGGACATTTTTGCGTGGAATTTTAAACAATTAAAAAGCTTTCTTTTTCATGAAGTGATATAATTTAGTTTTTTTTTATTTCCCTAATTAAATAGAAAGGTGCATCGAATCAGATATATTCACAGTAAAGCTAATAATTTATTGCATGAAGAATTTTGGTATGGACTGAGTAATTAAGGGGTCCGATGCAAAAACGAAATAAGTTTATGGTTTGATTTAATTTCAGTGGTCGTTTTGTTTGTGAGATATATAGTTACTTTGGGTAGTGCAAGTTTTCGGCAGAGTGAAATTTATCGTAAGTAATTTTATTTAATTTTATAACGTCATTGAACAGCTGACCCGATATTTGAGTTTACCACTACCATGTTCAACTCCTTGCCTTGTAATTTTGAACCTATTCCAGCAGACGAGGAAACTCCTGTAATTTGGAGGATTTATTGATGAAACTATATACATTTGCTCACATGGAGAGGAAAATCTCCAAAGACTTCCCATTGTTAGCTTGACGGCAAGGAGACTCTAACTCATGATTCGTCTACTACTGAGGATACATTTAACGTCAGCACTGTGGTCATTGTAACCGGGTGTGGACTTTGTATCGATCAGCTATCTTTGGGATTCGAACATGGGTTACCTTATTGGGAGGCTAGTGCTCTATCAATTTCTCCTAGAAGAATGAAGGCATCAGGTTATCATAAAGAAGGATATTATAAACAAAACATTTGATCCTTTAATAGTCCGAATGTGATGACATATTTCGTAGTTTCCCCCACAACGCAGCTTAGAAGCCTGAATGTATTGACACATTTCTTATTTTTCCTCTACTGCGCAGTTTATGCTCATTACGTTGGAATAATTTGATCCATGCTGAGGTCTTCTTTATTTTAGGAGGAGTTGCTTCTATCCCCTGAGCTACCACGACTCTATATAAAATTATTGACGTCCTATATCTCATTCGACTCTCACCAATAATTTCTGAATCTTGGTTTATTTATTTATTTGTTTGCTATTGCATCAAGCCCTTTAATGGATTTTAACTCAGTGACGTTTGGTTAAATGAAGCGTTTTCAAAACTATATTATGAAGTTGATATCGACGATATTTTTAGAATGCGTACTTTATACAGTGAAACGAAGCTAGTTATTCTTCTTTCTAAGGAAACTCGGTGTGTTTAGAGAAAGAAAATTAAAATAAGCAATCATAGAAATACTTTAAATAGCCGAAAGGGGTAAATTTCACCCTAGCAAAAGGAAACATTCATTTTTGAAATTTCATGACATTAGGACGATGATTTGTAGAATCAAATTTGCGGTCCAATTTGTTTAAAAAATGCCACGTAATATTTTCCTTTAAATTAAAAAGTATCGTAGAATCGATGTTAGAAGTAGCTCAGTGGAGTTAATTTATATATCTTTCTACCGTAAAACATTATACTGTAATTTCTACAGTAATACCTATTTAATTAGAATGGTTCAGTGATTTTACTGTAAGTATTACTGTATTACAGTGTATCAGATTTTTTGTCCCGTAACATGCTCCAGTGAAAATATATTTTGTGATTATCGTTTTACCATAATTTTTTACACTGTAGTTTCCCAATTCTGTGATTTTTATAAGCACTTTGGCTGGACTTCAGCCTCCCTCATCTTTATCTTACTCTTCCTTTCTCAATTGTAATAGAGCTTGGTATTGAATTTAAAAAAATGGCATTGGCATTTTTTGCCCAAAAATTTTATAGATGTATCTCAAGTATTCTATTCTTTTTGGTTTTTATAAAGTTTATTATAACATTTGTACATAAAACTCGTACATTATTACATCATCTTTTTTTGCAATTATACAGTTTATAGTATCTTTTAATTGTTCGTATTCTTTAACTTAGTATCCTGTAACTGACCCTATAACTGTTTTTAAATAAACAGTGTTTGAGTTGCATCGTTTCTGACATGCATCATTCTCTCCCCTCCCCCTCTCTCTCCGCCTGCCTGTCTGTCTGTCTGTGGGTGATTAACAAGATTTTCCTCCACCGGGTCTTTCATGTTTTGGAGCCAATTTTCACAAAACCATTGTTTTTAGTTACAATTTAAACCGAGTACTTAAACCACATAACTATTTTGAATACCCTTTCTTCACTTCTTTTAGTTAAGAGTCTGTATCAGTTTATTTAAAAACCACACTGTTGGAAGCTTCTTAGAAAAAATTATTGAATACCAATTCATTTAAATGCTGTCTTACTATATTCAAACAAAACACCGAAATTATCATAAATAAGATGGTATTGAAACTGTTAACTATGAGAAAAACGATTGATTAACTGGTTTCAACTGATACGTTTGAACAATCAGAATTTTATCGCATTATCTAGACTCAGATAATCAAGCCACTTAGTTCCTTGCTTCTAGGTTCATATTACAACCCGGAGGGTTAATCTACAAGTCAAATGACCGACAGAACGGAGGTTCGAGCCCCACCGATATCTCCTTAATATTCCCTTCATTCCGTTCAACACATGAAGAGTTTCCAGTGTCTTGCACAGCACAATTTTTTACTGTGACACTGTACTATTCGAATACGATAATATCATTTACTTGTCGATGCGAACACCTTAAAGCTGCTTAGCACAAACAATCTAATATTTCTCGTCTCTTATGAGAGGTAAAACAACCAGATAAACAATTTAAACTATATTCCTTGCTTCATTTGTTAAAACATATTTCAACCACAACCTAACTCTAATTCTCATTACCTAGCAAATAATTCAGCTTAAAGTTAAATATCTTTTTATAGTTTTGAAACTATGCTAGTTGTAAGTGGTTAAAAACATATCCTTTAGTATTGATAGTTTTTATAATCATACGTGTTGTAAACGTTTTCAAAGCTGTAAAGCAAAAGAAGTTCTTTACCATTAACTTTACAGTTAATTGGGTAAACAGAATACTGCCTGTTTTTTTACCGTAATTTCAGAATCAAAATTCTAGCAATGCATAATTTCAAAGTAATTAGAGCTTACTGAAATTCATGTTATGCTTTAAAATGTGACTATTTATTGCCACAACTGCAAACTACCATTACTACTGTATCTATTTAAACTACTAATACTATTCAATTATGACTTTTTAAAATTGAAATAATCGGTCTTGATGTCATGGTCATACGGAATAATTTTTACGGACATATGGACGCAACACAAATTTTATATACGATTTGTAAAATATTTTTTAAAGTAAGAAAAAAAAAGATTTTAGTTAAGACTTTACTATTTGAATTTTAAATAATGATTTTGTGGAAAGATATTTATTGACCTTGTCAGCCTCCATCTACGAAAAGTTGCTCCAACATAGAATCGGGTTAACATGTTTTATATACTAAGGAATTGGAATTGTATTTTTGTTGTGATAGATACACTACAGATTTCAATAAAGGTTTAAAAATTTATAAATGATATATACTAGCAATATAATTTTATAATGCATTTTTCATTTGCAATTAAGCCCATTTTTCAAGAAAAGATTTATAACAGTTTCATATAAGGAAATAATTTTTCATTTTCCTTCTATTGAATACATATATGCCGAGATAAATATGCGCTCAGAATATTTATGTAATTTAACGACAAAAATTTATGTTACAGAAGATTGAAAATTAAAATCTATCATTGAAGTCTATCTTTAAAATCTATCATATCATTAAAGACAAATAGAAAGGAGGAATTTAGAGTTCGAATTTTGTTTTTAATTTATAAGGTTTTTAAAAATTTATTATTCCAAATTTAAAAAAAAACGAAATTAAGATGATAATTTAAATCAATCAAAAGACTTAGGTGTGCCTTTGTAGAAACGTCTATTTCAATTTGTAATAGATACCCGATAACATTCTTATGCAGTTTTATTCTCGGAAAAGATAACGACCATTTTTCATTAAAAAATTATTTGAGGTAAACAATATTGACGCATTTAGCTATCTCGCAGACGAAAAGAATAGAAAATTGCGAGTTATTCTGTAGATAAATGTTGATAAAGAATCTATCTAATATCAAATTTATTGGCCATTCAGTAAATGTATATTTGCGGCATTGCTTCAAGTTTGATTTTTTCCATAAAAAATCATGTACAAAAGTAAATATAATTTTACGTGGAAAATCGAAAATTTTTCTTTTTGCCACCATAATAATGGCATGGAATTATCGAGTCCATTATTTCATAATAAAAATTTTGGAACACATGCAGGATTAAAACTTTACCCAAGAGGAGCGAGTGAAGAATATTCTGAATTTATTTCATGCACTTTAGGGTTGACTACGATTGGCCCAATTGATTATCTTCAAGGTGAAATTGAAGCATTTGGAGCCAGTGGAAAGATATTGAAAAATCATAAGTGGAATACAAATTTCACAGATAATTTCCCGAGGTTAAAATTTCCCAATTTTCTGTCCATCTCAGATTATGTCCAAGATGCAGAGGATAGTGCAGAAGATACTCTTACAATCTGTTGTAAATTTCATGGACACAATTCTACTGAAATAGTACCAAATGAAGATTTTTTGTACACGATGATTGGTGTCAATCGGAATACTTTTGAAATGTCTGTACCTAGAGGGGAAACGAGGAAACATTTATTAACTTTAGGAGCAAATAATAATTTTGAAATTTCAATAAGCGAAAAAAAAGGAAATTTAAAATTACATTTACAAGGGTGTTTGCAGAAACAGCTAATAATGAACCATGCATTGTTGATTGCACTTTGGCCCTACTTGATAAACGCAGGTCAGAAAAATTTTCTGGGAGAGAGAAGCATTATTTTTCTTCAAAAAATTGCTCAAATTGGAAATTTCCTTCTGAAGCCCTTTCTAAAGAATGGGAGAGCTATCTAAATTTTTTGAAAGAAGATCCCCCGAGATATATATATTTTTATTGTATATTTTCCGTTTCGAATGGAACACATTTACAAATTAGCATGCCTAAATATAAATCATCATCTATTCCCAACAAATCATCCTCGACAACAAGTGCTTCTCCCTCATTACAGGAAGACCTTCGAAATCTATTCCATAACAAACATCTCAGCGATGTGAAATTGCGAGTGGATGGCGAAACTCTTGAGGCACATAAAAATATTCTAGTGGCTCGATCCCCGGTGTTTGCTGTTATGTTTGAACACCAAGACATGGAAGAAAGTCGCAGTGGCATTGTGGACATCGTTGATATTGATGCCCACATTATGAATTCATTTTTGGAATTTTTATACACCGATAGTGTAGATGAAATGGATTATGAAATCTCTATAAAACTGCTGATGGCTGCAGAAAAATACCAAGTATTGTCATTGAAAGAGAAATGTGCGATGTTTTTGAAAAATGAAATGTCAGAGGAGAACGTATGTGAAATATTGTCTCTTGCTGATGCAGTAAATCATGAATTTTTAAAATTAGCTTCCATTGAATATATAATAGCGAAATCAGCAACAATTTTATCTTCTCCACTATGGATACCATGGATGGAAAACAATATGAAATTGGCTTCTGCTATTTTTGCGAAATTAACGCTAAGCCAATCTTCAGCAAAAAACTGAAAAAAAGGTAAGTTATAGCTGAAAAATACAAAAACTATATTTCTCCAACTGGATATTTTCTTACTTGCAAATATTTTCATAATCCCAGTAATGTATAATTTTCATTAAATGTAATCTTATTAAAAAATGAAGTTAAGACATGTTTAAAATTCTTTTGCTTTTAACATCATTGCTTAATATGAGTATGTTTTAGCAAATTTAAATTCCTAACATCTTCATGCATTATAAACCATAACTGTTTCAGGTGATTCTCACGAAACATGACAATTTACAGTCTCTTGCTCCAAGATCTAATACTATACTACTAAAAGAAATTTTTCTTAAAATTTTAATAAGTAGAATTGCTGTTAACATTTTAAAATGACCTTACACTAGCATCGACTGTTTTGTATACTTATAAAATTTAATTAAATTTCAAAATGTCTGGTTTCTGGTATGTCACAAACAATATTTCCAATAATAACAAGCTTCAAAACTTAGCATAAGTTTTTCAATATCTAATTTTTTTTATCTCAACCGTTGTAAGCATTTCTAGAATGTGGCAAGAGGGTATTATTTACAAAAACTTCGTTTAAGATAATTTTTTCATCAATAATTTGTTTGTCACATGAAATCTGTCATTTTCCTAGCTACTTTTATTTATTGATTTATAACCAAATTAGGTAGCACCAGCAATCAATATCTTATGTTAATAGATTGATTAGACACCATCCTATCTGAACATGTCTTGTTGCGTGAATAAAGAACCAACTTTCTGGTTCAAAATCTATTTCAAAATTTTTTTCAAGGTGAGTAGGTTTCTATGTTGTCATCTTCCAGTTTTCTTGAAATCATTAATAACATAAACTACGCAGATTTATCTGAGTAATTTCAAGAAATCCTGTTGTTTTCTACGGAATGTAAACATCTTAGGCCAAAATATTAAATTAAAGGGAAGTTAAATGCTATAAAAGGGCAAATTTGTCATTATTCTGGCTGTCATTTTCCTGGCCTATGAATGTCAGAACATTGAAGTGTTACCAGAATTTTTTTTAAACTGTATAGTGTAAAGACGAAAAGCAAATATTAACCTAACACCAAGATTATGTATAATTGTAGCAAGCTTGAATGTATAATTGAAGTTATTTATTTATTTAATGATTGATTATTATACACAATTTTAATCTGTACATATGAGCAGCAAAAACATTTTTGATTCCTTCTACAGTGGATAAAAAGAATTAATTTATACTATTTATGGTCCATCTAACATAAAGGCTTAAGTTGAGTTACTTACTGTTAGCTTCAAATGACTTTTTTTCAAATTTCTAAGCTAATATGTCATTTTCCTCTCATTCAAGATTTAGTGAATTTTTAATAATTTGTTTTTCTTGAATAAATGTCAATAAACTACACTGCTGTCTGTAAGGTATTAATAAATGTAACTACATAAAAATACAAAAAAAAGTTTGATTATTTTGAATACTTTAAACTTGAAGAAATCTTTGGTCCCGAATTGTCATGTTTCCAAGGAATCACCCCTATAATATATATATATATATATAAATATATATAAATATA